TTATTTCTTAGCCTTTAATACTCTTTAGAGTATTATTTTCTACTTTTATAATAGCTTTATAATTATAGTATAATATAGTATATTATATCTTAGTAAGCCTATAAAGCTAAGTAAAGACTTAAGTTCTTTTAAGATCCTAGGGAATTTAAGCTTCTTAACTATAAGTAACTTATCTTCTATTATACTTAGGTCTATAGTATTTACTAGGTAGTCTAGAACTATAACTAATATAAAGGCTATAAAGTTTTTTTTTAGTCTAATTAAGATATTATAGCTTAATAGGCTTTTAAATACTATCTATAGGTCTTTTATATAGTCTTTAAAAGTAGGTAACCTAGTAAAGATATTATTACTATATAAGATACCTTTAATATCTCTAAGTATATTATCTATTTACTATTAAATATAGATATTATAGTTTTTATAGCTTATAATAAATATTTAAAAAGTAAACTATCCTATATAGGTTATAATTAAGAAGGCTTAGGTTAAGTTAAGGTATAGTAGCTACTAATAATAAAAGGATATAGTATTAATTACTATAATATACTTTATATATACTAATTTTACTATAATATTATTTTAATAGTATATTAGGTAGGTATTATTAAGGGTATACCTATTAAAGGTCTTAATATTTATAACTATATAGCCTTTCTACTTATCTCTTTATCTTTACTAGATTATAAAGACTAAGAAAGTAAAAAAGACTTATATTTATATTTACTAGATCTTTCTTATATCTAGAAGCTTACTAGTAGTCTACTTAATAATACTTCTTTCCTTTAGCCTTTATAAATAGATCTTATATTTCTATATTATAGCTTCCTCCTATCCTAGCTTTAGCTTAATATATATAAGCTTATCTTTAGGGACTTTAGTAAAGCCTTTATTTATAAAAAAGGCTATATATTTATTTACTAGCTTTTATATAACTAATATTTATTAGTCTATACCTCTTTAGATATATACCCCTATTAGGTATTCTATTAACCTATTAGATAGGTTATCTAGTTATATTTAGAAGTAAGGTAGTTTTTTATTATAAGTATTAGCTAGTTTTAATATTATAAGAGTATTTATATATTCTATTTAATATACTTTTATATTTTAAGGTAGGGTTTATAGGTAGTTAAGTCTAATACCCTAGTATAGCTATAAGTAGTATTCTAAGTTATTCTATAATAGTATTTATATAGTATTAGCTTTAGTTAATACTATAAAGGTTATAGTTTATTATAATATTTATAGTTTATATATATATTTAATATTTAGTTTAGCCTTATATATTATAGCTATAAATACTATTTTATTTAAAGTAGCTTATATAGTCTAGGCTATTATAACTAGGTAACTCCTTACTTAAGATTATACTTATATCTATAGTATTACTAAGATTAATATACCTTAGTATATATAAAATACTATAGTACCCTAGCTAAGTAGGATATTACTCTTAAAGAAGCCTAGTATATTTATACTAATTAGTATATTTAGTTTTAAGTCTAATACTATAGATACTTAGGCTAAGTAAAGTGCTATAGCTACCTAGCTATCTAGTATTATACTAATAAAGTATAGTAAGATATAGGTATAGTACTTAGCTTAAGCCCCTTTAGGTCTAATATTATATATATATACTAGGTATAGGTAGCTAGCTAGGGTTACTTCTAGGTAGTATTAAGTTAGCTAATTCTTATCTACTAAGATTAGTAAGGCTTCTATATTTATATATATATTTAACTACTTTCCTAGGATCTTTAGGTTAGGATATAGCTATAGGTATAGGTATATCTATACTTATCCTAGTAGTATTTCCTATATTAAGATACTAATAGCTTTAATAATAGGTAGGTTTATATCTACCTATAGGCCTATAAGTCCTATACTTACTACTATCTCCTTAGTATCCTACTCTCTAGTATCTATCCTAATACTTACTACTATCTCTTTAATATCCTACTTTTTAGTATTTATCCTAATACTTACTACTATCTTTTTAATATTATAGGGGAATATATAGTAATAAGTAATAGTAGTATTATTAGCTAGGCTAGGGGTAAAGAAGCTAGTATTATTATAAGTAATATATATATAGCTATAAAGCTTATTATTTAATTTAAATTCCTAGCTATATTCCTTATAGATATAGAAAATAGGTAGCTCTTTAGTCTAATAGCTTTAGTATCTATAGTTACTTATAATTAATAATTCTTTCTTTTCTATTATATCTTAGCCTATAGCTATAATAAGATCTATAGTCTAGTTACTATAATCTAGTAGTAGTTACTAGTAATAATCTTTACTACTATATCTAAAAGGGTCCTCCTATTATACTTACTATATATCCTACCTTATATTCTAGGTATCCTACTTATATCCTCTCTTATCTATATCCTAATAATAATCTATATAATAAGCTACCTAGGGGGTATAGTATAATATCTAATTAAATTAGGGTTAGTTATCCTAGGGTTAGTATAGTCTATTATAGCCTAGGTTAAAACCTTAGCTTTAGCTAATATTAGCTAAGGCCTAGTTATTATTATTACTATAAGGTAGCTTCTACTTATTACTTAAGGTAGGTAATTAGACTTTTTATTAGAATAACTAGTATAGCTATTATTATCTACCTCTATATTTATTTCTTTACTAAAAGCTATTCTAATAGCTATAACTACTTTTATTTCCTCTTATCTATAGCCTATATCCTTTTTAGTCTTAACTACCTTAATTATAGCCTACTAAGACCTATAGTTAGGCTTATAGCTATTAAAGGCTACTATTACTATAGTTATTATACTAAGCCTAGTCTTTATTAATAAGACTATTATTACTATTATTTATAGCTAAATTATAGATAATACTTTAGTAATTATAAATATTTTAAAGGAAGCCTTAAATAGTAGTTCTTTCTAATAATAGGTTTAAAATAGCCTTAATCTTAAGGTTTAGTAAGTTAAATACTTATTAAAGCTAGTTCTAAGAGTCTTAATTAACTACTTAAGTATTTTATAGTATTTATAGAATATATATATCTATATTTTTTCCTATCTAAGTATTATCTAGTAAGTAGATAGCCTATTTTAAGTATCTATTTATTTTAAAAAGTAATAACTTAAAGTAATTAATAAAGGCTATATAGATATTTAATATTAATATATAAAGTATATATTATCTATTATCTATTATAAATATACTTATATACTATTAAAAAGCTATTCTATATAGGTAAGTATATTAAATATTTTAAATAGCCTATTCTTTATATAACTAGCTATATATTAATAGTTAATTAGTAAATATATATATATAAATATATAGAATATTTTTATTATTTATTATAATAGTTTCTATACTATTTTAGTCTAGATATTATAATTTAGGCTTAAAGAAGCTAATATCTACCTTTTATAAGCCTTTTATTATTAACCTATAACTATATATTAAGAAGGTATTTTAATTAATTATATCTTTAGGTATAACTACTAGAGTCTTAGCTACTACCTAGGAGATAATCCTAGTAAGTATATCTAGATTTATTATAAAGTATAGCTAGATACTATTACTACTTTATTTACTAATATCTATTAAGAAGGTATAGCCTTAGCCTAAATAGTCCTTAAACTATAATAAAGATACCTAGCTTTAACTTTATAATAGGTTAGTTACTTATCCTTTCTAATAATAAGGTATAGTTTCTACTACTAGCCTTTAGTTATCTTATAAGGTAGGCTTATATATTAGCTATTTAGTTAGCTTAGTAGTTATTCTATCTTTAAAATAATATATAATAACTTAGACTTTTTATAACTATAGGAGTCTTATTATATCTACTTTTAAGATTATTAGTAGTAGCTTAGTTTAGTTTACTATATATCTTTAATAAGTAGTTATATTAGTTAAATATATTAGCTTAGCCTTATTTAGTTTAAAGAATATAGGTTCTACTTCTAGGTAGTAATAAGTAATATATACTAAGATATATATATTCTATAGTATATATCCTAACTAGTCTATATAGTTAGCTATACTTCTTAGTTAATAAGGGTTATAATAATAAGGGTTTTAATAATTTAATAGTTTAGTATAATTAGGTTATAATAATTTATTTTTTAATATAATTAGGTTATAATAATATAATAATTTAATAATTTTTAATAGAACTTCTAGTTATACTAATTTTTTAATATAATTACTACTAATTTGTTAGTGTGTGTTAGAATGAAGATAATATTCCTAGGCCCTACCCTATGCTAGCTACCTATCTAGTAGTGTGTAGGGCCACAGCCACCACACAGCCCACGGGCTACACCCAAGGCCCTACGAGGCCGCTAATTCCTGCAGGCTACAGCGCTGCCAGCTGCAAAAAAAAAAAACGGCTCTAAAGCCTGCAACTTGATAGTCTCAAGACAGTGTTTTTTTATCCAGGGCCCACTCTTTGGCTGGCTGAGAGGCTACGGTGCCGGCTCCGTGCTCCGCCCACACGTCTTGTAGCCAGTTTCCTTCTGGAGCAGGGCCTAGCCGGCCACTGTTTCCCTCCCCCCAGCGCTCACGTTGGCTCAGCCTCTCGATCCCCCCGTGTCATGTTCCGTGCCAAACCACTCCTGATCATCACAACCGACCGCCGCCCACACACTCGCTCGCAGGAAAGTCCTCGACTCCTCCACCGTTCTCGATCATCCCCCCCTTCATCGCCCATTGCAAGACGCGGCCTCTTGCTTCCGATCACAACATCCCGCTCATCTATCGCACGCCCGAACCGGTCGCCGCGATACGGCCTGCGCTTCTCCTCCCTTCGTTTTCGGCCTGGCTCTGCCCAGAACTCGCCCAGCCAGCGAGGCCGTGGGTTCCGCCAGCGTGACTGCCATCCCCCTCGATTGAGTGAGGGCCGCAGTCCGCCTTTTTTTTGTCGTTGCAATTTGACCCCCGAATATTTTCTTCGTTTCCCGATTGCCGCCTTTGGATGCTAGCCCGAGCCTCGACCACCGCGCCTCGCCATGGACAACTCTCGCCGTACCTCCGCTGGCAGCCGCCGCCAACGCTCATCGTCGACTTCGAGTAACGCGTCAACAGCCTCAACGGCGTCGTTTGTCACCGAGGAAGACTATGATCTGCTGGCCAGTGCTGCCATCCCCGATGGATTTCGACCATCGGGCCCCGTTCCGAACTTGTCCGCCATCCGTCGCCCTCTGCTTCCTCTCTCTGGCCCCTTGCTGCCACCACCCCAAGCAGTCAACCCATCATTTTCGAAATGGAATCATCGACCTTCCAGTGTTGCCAAAGCCCCCAGACCCCATGATTCTCTCGCTATCCGTGCCGACGGCTCCAATGCCTCCAACACGGCCCAGACGCCTGGGGGTGGTGTCCCTCCTCTGCGAGGCGAGGCTCCATACCGTGGCCCTTCGAATCCTGCCCATCAGTACGGCATGTATCCCCAACGAACCGCTAGTAAGGCTACCGATCGAAGCGCCCGTGCCAATCGCCCATCCTCATACACCGGCCCTCGTGGCCCTACTCATCCATACACACTATATACCCAGGGTACCGCAGCCGCACCTGTCGAGGCTAATCAACAAGCCATCCCCGTCGGATTTACTGGACTGGCCGCACCATATGAACGACAAATCGGACCCGACGGCGAGGATATTGGTGACTTACTAGGACCCCTTGGCCACACAGAGGAATTGCCTCCCTACTCGCGATACCCCGAAGTCGCTTTTTCTACCAAGCCAGCACCCGGTGCCGCCGTCGTCATCCGCCGTTCACCTTCCTCGGCACAGAATACACACTTAGAAGAGGCCTCGGGTAGCGGATCGGCCCCAACTGTGGCCGCTGTTCCAGAGACACTGGACAATGTCGATGCCGCCCCGGAGAATCCATTTGCCTCTGCTGACGACGACCTTGGGCGCGCAACGTCGAGGCAATCAAGACATTCCATCAGAACCGTGTCAACATATCGCGACAATCCTTCTTCTGACGAATCGTATTCTGAAAAAGCACACCCAATTCAGACGAAATGGCAACGCAGAGCGAGAAGAAAACTCTGGGGTGTCATTCCATACTGGTCCATTTGCCTCCTGTTTGTTGGTCTTATCCTGGGTAGTATCATGGGTGCAGTTGTTGGAACTGTCTTGACAAAAGGCCGCTCGAGCAAACAGCAGCAAACGAAGCCCACGCCAGAACCAGACCATAATCCGACTCCGACAGTTGTCGATATTCAGCCACTGCCAACCGTCCCCAACGCGCTGCTGCCTTTGCCTGTCGGTCGCTTTTCGCTTCCCCAGATGGATGGTGGTGGTACTAGCAAATTATGTGTCAATGACAGCAGACAACTTGCAGCCTGGAGTTGTAACATGGCTTTCCGATTTTATTCTGTCGATGTCTCTCCCGATGCAGGTCGAGCCTCGATTGAGCGATACAATCTGACGCTCAAGCCTATCAACAGCACTCAATCTCAACTACTATGGGGCACACAGCCACCTTATATCAAGGATCCGGTGAAGCTCAGGCTTGTCAACGATAGTATGCAAGGGGAAACGCGTGGTCCTGCCTGGTGGACCTCCGTTTCCTATGACAAGACTGTCGTTGTTCGGCAAGAAGACCTGTCGCCAATGCACAGTAAACGGAACTGGGTTTATCCCGGACTCCCAGCGACAATTGCTACTGCCAACTCGCAAAAGTCGAGATTTTCAAGGTCAAAATATCAACCGCAACCTGGCGATTGTATGTGGATCTGCACATGGCCGCAGACTGTACTTGAAATTCTCATCTACCCCGGTCAGAACGTAACAACGGATCCGGGACCACCGACGGGGCCGTCTCTTACGATGTCGCCGGTGCCATCCCGCACGTCCTCCCCCCAGGATGATTCCAACTTTGGCAACTTTGATTTGAACCAGATGCCCCAAGACCCTCTGGCGCCCTACCCGAAGCTTGTCCGGTTGATCGAACGCCGCACAGCAAATAGCCGTCCTGCCACGTGTTTCGGTTATGAGATGAACAGCCGCGGCAACATTGTACCGCAAACAAACCCCCAAGGCGATGCCAACCAAATCCAAATCTCCGAAAACGTCAATACGGTTCACAGAATGGACCGATCTCCCGGTCCTTACAACGGCCCGCGTGGCAGGGAGGACAGGGACATGCAGGTAGACGGCTCCGGCATCGCTCCCCGGGAATCCCTCGAATTCACGCCATGTTCCTGTTTTTGGTCGCAGTGATAGCCAGATGGGTCCCTTTTTATGTTGACGGCGTTTGTTTTTCTACTGTATGTATCGGGAGCAAGAACTCTGGCGTTTAAATCTTTGGAGCATTTGCAAGGTTTTCTTTTTTTTTCTTGGAAGTCTCTGTATGACTTTACTATTGACATTTGGTTGCTGGGCGTTTTACCCCCCTCCCCCTCTCTCGCTCCCTCCGTCCCTTTTAAGGATTGGCTGTTACAAGTCTTGTCCTCGGCTATTGAGTTTGAGAAGAGAGGAAAGTGTATGAATGATGGGGGTTGCAGTTTCAATTTCTCTTCATTTGCATTGACTAATGGGTCGAAGTTGCCGCCACATTGAAGATAGCCAGTGGCGGATTATACGCTTGTGTATGTATGTATGTATGCACTTTGCTGGAACAGCATGAGTGCAAATAAATAAATGAAATCACTATATTCAAATGAGTTGTCTGACACCTGTATTGTGACAAACGTCTTGACTGTACATGCATGATCTTGATGTCAATACACCTCCATAGGGTGATTGCACATAATCCAACCCTCGGTCCTTGTACACCCCGCCGCGTCTGTATTTACGAGTTGTGTATGCTCAGTACCAGCCGGCGAGCCGATGGAGGCCGGCCGCATCTCACAGAAAGGGGTCGCCCATGTAGTATGCACACGACCTTGGCCCAGGGCAGAGGAAGAAGCGTGACTCAGGCCTCAGCCGGCTGTGCTGCTGCGGTGCCGTCTTTTCGTCCTCGCGGCCTGACTCGCGCGCGGATGGCGCGCCGTGCGACCGCGCACCCGCGGTTGCGTTCTTGTCCGTCATTCCCCCCGAGGCCAGTCACGTCGCTGGCGCCTGGTCGCCGAGGCTTGCTGCCATGGCCACCGCCGCAGCGGAACCCTCATCGCCCAAAGAAGCACCGCCCTCGGTCGGCTGCACCTCGTTGCCGACAATGTCCTTTTTGCCGTCGCGAAAGTCGCGCATGAGGGCGAGGAAGACGGAATTTTGCCACTTTTCGCCGCTCTCGTGTTGCACCGACTCGAGCAGCCGCTCCGCCGCCTCGGACACGGCCGACTTGTTGCGCGCGTCGTCGTCGGCGAGCATGTCAGCAGCCGTGTTCTCCTCCTCTAGCGGCTCCGGCGGCGTAATGGTGGGCGCTTCGCGGCTTTCTAGCGTCAGGTTGTTAAGCTCAGGCACGCCGAGGTCCGAAAAGTGCTTGTCATCCGTCTCCGTTGCGGTGGTCGCCTGCGCGTCGTCTGCGAGCGCCTGCTCGTTTAGTTCCAGTTCTCGCGCCATCTGCTCCATGGCGGCGTCCACCTGCGTCATGTTGCCGGTGGCCGTATTGCTGGCCATCCACTTGGCCATCTCCTGGTCAAAGTCGGCCTCGCCGGCCGCCTGCGGCTGGGCGTACGCACTGCCGGCCGGCGCGAAAAAGGGAGAAAGGTTGGACTGTTGCGGTGAAAAGGCGCTTTGAAAGTTCATATGCATGGGGTTGGCGGCGCCGGCAAACATGGGACCCTGGCGCGGTGGCTGCTGGTGCATGGGCTGGCGTTGCGGCTGCTGCGCCGCAAAACTAGCAAAGTCGGCCGCCCAGTTACCACCCATCCCGGGAGCGGCGGTGGGTGTCTGGTATGCGAATTCGGGGGCGACCGCCGGGCCAAAGGAACTCGCGGCGGCCTGTGCGGGATTGAGAGCGGCGGCGTGAGCGGCGAGTCGGCTCGCGGGGTCGTGGTGCATGCCTGGCAGGCCGACTGGAGTCCCCATGAAGGCATCGAATTCTTGGGGACCTTGTGCCATGTTCTGGGGTCTCGATCGGAACGCCTGGAAGCAAGAGGTTCTCAGTTAGCATGTTGTCCGGTCGAGGAGTGTTTGCAACACGTACTCCGCGGGCCTGGTTGCCGTTGACCAGACGGTCTTGGTGATGGCTGACATCGCGCGCCTGGCGGTCCAGCATCTGCTTGAACGGCGTTCCGCCGCTGCATGAAGCGTCGGCCATGGCTGCTACTGGGGTGTGGTTTGCGTGGTCCGATGGAGGGAAGGCCAGGTGCCGCGCGGGGATGTCGTTCTGCGCTGTGCCAGCAATGGAAGGGTACGCGGCAGATAATTGGAGCAGTGGCCTCGACTTAAATGTAGAAGGTAAAGGTAGAAGCAAGAGGCGAGGTGAAAAGAAAACAGGCGGAGTAAATAAATGCCTTTATGTGTAAATTTGAGATGTAATGATGAACAGATGACAAACCCAGCCGAGGCTGTGGGTGGCAAGCAAGCTAGAGTCGGGCGCTGTAAGGTGGGGCGCCGAAAACACCGATGCGACTGATGAGCGACAACCCAGCAATACAGCAATACCGCCAATCCGACGATAGGAGCTCTTGGCGCGGCTGCACCTCCCTCTCCACGTGCCAAAATGCGACTCCAGTACATGAAGTTCGCGCCGGCACTCCAAGTGGTGTTTCTTCAAGTCAGACCTCCTCCCCCCATCTGCAGCCTATATATGTCGGAGTTACAAGCCGCGGGAGTGTGCAGGACGCAAATAAGACAGCTAGCTGTTCTCCTCCCCGTTGCATCTACATAAAATCCCTCCTTACTTCGCAAACATGGCTCCAAACAATGACCAGGAGCAGCAGCGGAAAAACGAGATTACAGCAGTGCTCAGCCAAGGATATTTTCCCCTTTTCCAGCAGCTGCCACCTGAAATCCGCCGTCACATTTGGCAAGAGGCGCTCTGTGAATGGGCGGTCTGGTATACATCGCACCCCCACGTCAATCTCCAAGCAAGTGGCCTATTCATACGTATGAGGCCCGTCGGCATAGCGCCGTTCCATGTCGGTCTCGCGTGCCAAGAGTCGCGACACCTGATGGAGGGGCTGTACACAAAGCTGCTGGCCGGCGGTGGCGGCTCTGCGGCGTCTCCTGCCGCCGTGTATTGGCTGATACCAGAGCGGACCATTACGTATCTCGGCTGCACCGCGCGCGCCGTCGACTTCCTTGACATCATCCACGCCCACCAGAGCCTGCCCCTGAGACATCTGGTGCTACACTGGTCTGACCTGCTCGATGTGACTCGCTTCAGCCATAACCTCGTCTACCAGTGCCCCGACCTCCAGACTCTTACCCTACATGCCGCTGACAGGGGAACGACGCCGGAGCTGTGCCGATGCGATTCGCCGCTCAGCCAACACCTCGCGAACTGGTACATTACCGTCGCGTCTTGGCAAGACGAGACGCTTCCGTATGTAGAGCACCCGGAATCAGAGATGCTCAATTGGAGTGTGGGCGAGTACTTTGGCGACCGGAACGAAGAGGTGGAGGGGCCAAGGCTGCATTTTCTGCCATCCAAATTGCAGCCATCAGCAGCTTTGGAGCGGCAGTGATTCCCACCTTCATCCTGCAGTTGGTGTTGCTACTGTCGACTGCCACCGCATCTTCTTTTCTCAACCTCGTTTCTTGACGCAAGGAGAGCTAAATTGAAGATTTGTGGCTAAATTGACAATACCAACATGTTGCCAAAAAGATGTCAAGATGATATACCCCAAGCTTAGGCCTAACTAGATCTTGCCATCAGGTGGGGCTTATATCACGTGCAGCACTTGTCCCCTTGCCAGCTGTCCCCATCACCAAGAGCCTACACCTAAGCTACTGCTGCGCTGGCGTCTGAGCTTCTCCGTGTCACTGTTCTTTCTTGGGTCATATCCAGCTTCTTTTCCTTTTTCTCACCGACCGACTGGCGTTGTCGTAATAGCAATGGTACTGCTCCCCCCTGATCTCAGCACATGGTAAATTCTGGGCCAGACAGCTAACCGTGCACAGGCGGCGCAAGTCATCTCCAACTCCGGCCATGATGATATGATTGTACGTGCGATCCCACAGACCCTTCTTCCACCGCCGCTCGAGTCCGCATCAGAGAGCTGCAGCAGCTCCTAGATTCACCTTGCAATGCAAACGATGCTTTGCCCCCGCATTCCGAGTAGCGACACCCCAAGCTAACAGAGAAACCCCCCAGCATGATGCCGTCCTCGACTATTACGGCCGCAAGCTGGCCACCTGCTCCAGCGATCGCACAATCAGAATTTTCGAAATCGAAGGCGAGTCGCAGCGGTTAATCGAGACTCTAAAGGGGTAAGCTCCTCACCTACCCCGCGCCTCCTAGCCGAGCTTCACAATGCGACAGTAAACATAACCTACTCGACCTGATGATTAACGAATCGCGTTTACAGTCATGAAGGCGCCGTCTGGTGCGTCGCCTGGGCTCATCCCAAGTATGGCAACATTCTCGCATCGGCCGGCTACGACGGCAAAGTTTTTATCTGGAAGGAACAAGGACCGCAGCACCAATGGCAACGCATCTACGACTTCCCACTACACAAGGCCTCGGTCAACATTGTTTCGTGGGCGCCGCACGAGGCAGGCTGCTTGCTAGCCTGCGCCTCCTCCGATGGGAATGTCAGCGTTCTCGAGTTCAAGGACTCAGCCTTTGACAACACTACTTTCCCGGCCCATGGCCTCGGCGTCAACTCTGTCTCCTGGGCTCCTGCCACCGCTCCCGGCAGTATCGTCAGCAGCTCTCCCGGTCCCGCTGCCGCCGGCAACCGCCGCTTTGTCACTGGTGGTAGCGACAATGTTGTGAAGATCTGGGCTTTTGACCCCGCCACGCAGTCGTACAAGCAAGAAGGAGAGGCGCTCACCGGCCACTCGGACTGGGTTCGCGATGTTGCTTGGTCTCCCACTGTCCTCAAGAGGTCATACATTGCCTCAGCTTCCCAGGACAAGACTGTTCGCATCTGGACTGCAGATTCGACGGCTGGTGGCCCTGCCCAGTGGGATTGCAAGACGCTTGACTTTGAGGCCCCCGTTTGGCGTGTGAGCTGGTCCTTGAGCGGGAACGTTTTAGCTGTCAGCGGTGCCGATAATAAGGTCTCCCTGTGGAAGGAGAATCTCCGCGGGGAATGGGAGTGCGTCAAGAAGATCGAGGACTAAGCTAGCCAAACGCAAGAAAAGAAACCTACACCGAACAACAATACACGTACGCAACTACGCCGAGAACCCAAGAGAAATAATTAATTGAAAAATCAGCTGAGGGGCCTAGGGGTATGCGAAGAATAACTGGCGTTTTTCGGGGGGAGAATGACCTGCATAGAGCCAGGCGGGATGACAGGCGACTGAGAAGATGCCCATAACGGATCTGATATAGAATGGGCCACAACTGCCCGAAACCTTCACTATAACTATACGTATACGTGCAATGAGTCCCAATAAAAACAACATAACGACACTTGATCATTTACGTGATTTATTTGAACCTGATTCTTACTTGTATGTGATGTTGGTGTATTTTTCTCGAGCTGGTTGTCATATAGCACCTAAAATAAAACAAACTCAGCTTTCATCCGTGATGGACCTTCGAGGCCTTGTCCGATTCCTGACCATAGTGATTTGCCCCAATGCCGTCACCAGTTTGTGCGTTCTGCCCTCTTCATTTGTGCACTGCATGATGTTAGTACCGCACAGCTAATAAAAATGTTTGTTTAATCTGTTGAAATGCCTCGAATGTACAGCTGCTACCCAGGGTTATCGTGCCATGACGTGGTAGTGCTGCCCCTCCACCCCACCACCAAACAAGGTATAAGTAGATGACTTCTCCCACCGGCAGCCTTGCTTACCTTTGACAAGACAACGACCGCCCAAGATGGCCAACATGGAGAAATATCCGCTTTTCGGCATCCCAAACGCTGTAACAGTCGACGCGACGCCAATTCCGCTCGACGACGCCACGCGAGAGCTCTACCAGCGCGCCGTAGCGGACCCGTCCTCCATCACCGACGCCGAGATGCGCACCATTACGCTGCGCCCTCCGCCAGCGCAAGAGGACGAGCTGTGCCGCGAAAAGTGCGACCTGCCGTTCGACGCGGTCGTGCAAAAGGCCCTGCGCGGCGACAAGCTCACCTACGACGAGGCCGAGGCCATCAAGCTCGGCGTGCGGTGGAAGCAGAAAACCGAGACGACGGCCCGGCAGCTGCGCCAGCCGCCAGAGGACAGGGAGCTGCGGTACGCCGCCGTCGAGGCCGTGACGCCGCAGAGCCTCAAGGACGCCCGGGTGATTGCGCAGCCCGTGTACGCGGCGGCGGGCGACGCCGCGTCGGCCGCCGTGCTCGAGTACTACCAGGGCAGCGAGATGCTGCAGATCAAGCGCGCGCTGATGACGCCGTGGCAGGCGCACATCCTCGCGCAGGGCCACGGCGGCGCGTGCGGCCTGGTCCTCTTCCACCCGCGGCGGGCGGCGGCGGCCCGCTGGGACGCGTTCCGCGCGCGGATGGACCTGGCCGTGCACCACGGCCTGCGCGCCAAAGCCGGCGGCGTCAAGGCGCCCATCATAGACGGCTTTGCGCTGCACCTGGTAGAGACCACCGGGGAAAGCAGCGGCGGCGGCGGCGGCGAGTGGCAGGAGACGTTCAAGGAGCTGCGCGACGCCGGGGCGGTGCCGCCGGGGCTGCGGACGGACGCCTTTCTGTACGTCGACGACGAGGCGCTGGCGTCGGTGGACGGGAAGCGCCCGTTTGCGTGGCTCTGGGAGCCGCAGGACACGGAGCACGGGCCGCTGAGGGTCGAGCTCAACAGCATCGTGCCGCTGCTCATGGCGAGGCTGACGCAGCGCGACCTCGAGGGCGACGCGAGGACCAAGCCGTTTCGACACGGCCCGGAGCTCGCGGCGCTGCACAAGGCGGCGAGCTACGCGAGGAGCGACGACATGATTCAGATCTGGCCGCCTGATCCTCGCGCTACGTGATACAGCGTCGGCGTGGCAACTTGTACATTTATGGCTTCGTCGCAGGCGAGAAGTAAAAGAAGAGGCACGAACAAGGTTACGTGGCTCACGATTCTTGCGCAAGGTACTCGAATGCTCATGGCTTGTAGAAGAAGATTAAAGAAGAAAAACACAATTTAGAGGAAAATACATCTCCTTCTACTGGCTGCTATCGTAAACCTGGAATCAAGTATTTACTACCTTCTTTATATTCCTACGCAAACGTAGTAGTTGGGAAAGAGTCCACTGCAGTCGCTCTTGACAGCCGGGTTCCACGAGTAAAAGTCATTCAAGGCGATATTGTTGCTCTGAGCAAGGTTGTAGCAGCCGTCTCCCGACTTGACCTGGTAGAACTTCTTGCAGTTCTTGACCATGCCATCTTGCACAGGCGTAGGCGTCGCGTTGGCCGGAGGCGTGCTCGTGGTAGGCGTTCCGGCACGGCCGACGCAGAGGTAGTAGTCGGGGAAGAGGCCGCTGCAGTCGCCCTTGAGGGCCGGGTTCCACGAATAAAGATCAGAGATGGCAATGCTGTGGTCGTGAGCAATGTCATAGCAGCCGTCGCCGCTTTTTACTTTATAGAAGCTGTTGCAGCCAGACACCATGCCGTCCTGTGTTGGTGTAGGCGTCCCGTTGCTTGGTGGCGGGGTGGTGGTAGGCGTGGCCGACTGGTGGCCGACACAAATGTAGTAGTCGGGGAAGAGGCCGCTGCAGTCACTCTCGAGGGCTGGGTTCCACGAGTAGAGGTCGTCTAATGCGATACCATTGCTTGATGCAATATCATAACAGCCGTCGCCCGACTTGACCTTGTAAAACTTGTCACAGTTCTTTACCATGCCATCCTGCACAGGTGAAGGAGTGGTGCCAGGAGGAGTGGTCGTAGTGGTGGGGGTGGTGGTAGGTGTGCCGCTTGAGCTAGAAGTTACGCCAACGCAGAGGTAGTAATCTGGAAACAACCCAGAGCAGTCTCCCTTGAGCGCAGGGTTCCACGAGTAGAGATCGCTCAAGGCGACTCCATTACTATCCGCAATGTTGTAGCAGCCATCACCGCTCTTGACCTTGTAGAACTTGTTACAGTTCTTGACCATTCCATCTTGGGTAGGCGTGGGCGTTGTGACGCTGGGGGAAGTAGTCGTGGTCGTGGCCGGGGTACTGGTGGGAGACGCGACTGTAACTTGCGCGCAGTAGCGGAATCCCTTTGTCAAGACACAATTCTGGGGGTTGTTCTCGTCGTACTTTAGCGACGGGTTCCAAGAGACGAAGTCCGTAATGTTGGCTGAGCGAGAAAGGTTAGTATGGGACTGGACAAAAGCGAAAGGAAAATGGACAAGACGTACTTCCGAAGACACTGGCCACAGAGTAACATGCGTTGACAGACGAGCCGTTTCTGGCACCGTCAAGATAGGTGACATATGTGGCACATCCCTCCTTTGTTCCGGCGGCAAGAGGTAGAGTGTCCGGGTCGGTTCTGTTTGGCGCCGCGGTTGGAAACTCCCAGCGGGAGACTGTGCTCACGGAGCCAGTTTCAACACAGCTTGCGGGGAGAGGAATCTGGTTGACGCAAGGATTGACGATACCACTGCGCAGGGATTTAGCCTATTGTTCATCGGTTCTGTAGTCGCTGCGACGTACCCGTATCCAGGATAGGCGCCAATGTCACCCACGGGCTTCACGCAGTACGAGTAGCCGAGCAGCAGGTTGGTGCAGTTGGGGTTGTTCACTTCAGGGTTCTACGCCAGATGTTAGAGTTCATCCAGTCGTAGAGACGATATTTGCTGGACGTACCAAGAAGTAAAAGTCCTTTAAGCTGATGCTCATCATGACCGTGACGGAGCCGCAAGTATCGCCTGGAGAAACCTTGTAGAACTTGCCGCAGTAGTGGTTGGTGCCGTCGACGACGTCAGTTGGCACGGTGCTAGTACAGAGATGGAAAGTCAGCGCTCATACAATATACCTTGCAGCTGTAATCAATCCCAACTTACGTCGGCGTCGCTGTCGTCGTGGGGATTGTGGTAGGATCTGGCGGAGACGTATCTCCCGGCGCGCTGATGCACAGGTGCGTGCCCACCAAGACCTCAAGATTGCTGCAGTCCCTGTTGACGCGGGGATTCCACGATATTACCTGCGTGGCCGAAAAAGAGCCATTGTGCGCCTGAGAGATCCCAAAGCACGTGTCGTTGGCCTGCAGCGTGTACAGTTTGCAGGTTGCCGGGACACAGAGATCCGTGCCCGGCTTGGGAAAGTTGCTGCAGTCGGCCGCGATGCTGTTCTGGTACTGTAGCATCGATGTGGATACGCTCAGCGCCGTGCTGACGCTGTCGCAGTCGTCGCCCGCCTTGACGGTGTAGTGCGAGGCGCAAGCCGCGCTGCTGGGCGTCGGGCTACCGGAGGAGGTGGCGGTGCTGTTGGCGGGTAGCGTATAAGGCGCAGGAGAGGTGACCGGGTAGCTGGTGACGCCGCATGACGAGGTCAACGAGCTGTAGTAGCTGGATAGGTCGGCGTCATAGCCGAGGGGGGAGTTGAGCTCTGCCTGGAAGGTACGCAACACGCAGTCCTTGCATCCGTCCGATGCAGAGCCATTCGCGGCGGCCCACTGGTCTACCTGGGGAGCGCAGAACTGGTTTGAACTGTGTATTCGTGTAAGTGACAAGTCAGAAATCTATTCCATCCCGTATTTGGTGTTGTAGTACTTACTTGTCTTTGAGACAAATGTAGCTGTACGCGAAGAGCAGCGAGTCGGTCATGTACGTGGCAGGATAGCGGATGCCATTGAGCGTCGTGGCATCAGTCTGGCAAGCGTCCTTTTGGCTCGATTGTAAGCTCTTAAGCGAGGTCAAACAATCATCCTTGCAGACGCTGGTGAGGACGTCGCTGGTAGGCTCGAAGCCGTCAAAAGCGATGGAGGACAAGGTCGCATCGCATTTGACCGACGTGCCAAAGGTGGTCTTGCAGCCACTCGACACAGTATCGGGTGCGTCAATGGAGCGAGAGGTGCCGTCAGGATCGGCCAGAAAGACTTGTGACTCTGCAGCAGAGAGGAACAGGGCCGCAAGAGCCAGCGTTCTGAACGAAACGGTATCCATGGTTGGCAAGTGTGTGTGTGGTTTCCGCAAAGGAATGAATGACACGAAAAGCACACAGACTTGGCCGGACACGAGAAAGAGTGTAGCTGTCACGGGAGCGAGTTGATCAGGTCATAAGGAGGGGGGATCGCTGCTTTGGAGGACTTCTTCTTGATTGTGACGGCCGAGATGGACCACCGATATGGGCCGTGGAGAGGGAGTAGGTTTACCTGTACATGTGAGATGGTCAACCACTTGCAAGAATTTGTCATGAGCTTCATTCAAATGCCGAATAGACGAGGAGCTGAAAGTGAATATGACGGTTGCGTGACTCGCCTCTTGCATCCTGCTCATTTCGGCGTTGTCTTTCAACGGTTTAGACAGCCCCGGTGACCCCATCATGATGCATCGCTAAAGAAACGAAGCGTGAACGAGGCGACCAATGCGAGGCGTCGGCACGGGCTGCCAAGCCGGCCTTTTGGCGCCGGGAATGCCCTTTCAGGGTTTTCGACTTGATTTTGCATAAAATACTGGGATAAACAGCGGTATTTTCGTCGTTTTCGCCCCCAGCCTGTCAGCACGGCGTTGTGTGTTCCTGGTTAGCCGTGAGTCGATCCCCCTGCTTCAGTGGACATGGCTAAGCTAGTGTCAGTGCGTGTGTCAGAATGAAGATGATATTCCTAGGCTATACCCTGCTCTGGCTGCCTATCTAGTGGTGGTGTAGGCCTACACACACCATAGGTGCCGCTATCTAAATAACGATATCCTTATTAATACCTAGAAGCTATAATAACAATATTATCCTATTTAATAGTAATTTATCTTCTTATCCCTATAAAATAGCCTTATCCTTATAAAATAGTAAAGTAATAGTAAAGTTCTTAATTAAATTCCTTATATATTTCCTTATATATCTTAAGCCTAGTTTTTTAAGATTACTAAGCTTTATAGCTACTCCTTTAGTATCTAATCTATATTATATTTTTTCCTATAGCCTCCTTATATTATAGCTATTATTACTATAGCTAGGTACTTTAATACCTTAGTATATTAGTATATATTATCCTTTTATTATCTTAGTATTATAAATATCTTAAGGTTATACTTTTTTATTATATATTAAAAAAGGTAGAATAATAATATTATTTTATAGTTATACTTTTACCTTACCCTTTAGTCTTTTATAAACTTTATAATATTTACTATCTTCTATAATATATTATATTTATACTTAATTATATACTATAAGGCTAAAATATTATCTAGGTCTTAATAGCTCTCTAGCTATAATCCTATAAACTATAGGTAGTACTCTACCTAGGCTTCTTACTATTAGGCTAATAGCTATAAATAGCTTTATTTTAAGTCTAAAAAGGGACTATAAAATAATATTAGTTATAGCCTTATAAGTAGGCTAGTTAGCTATAACTATAGCTAGGCTTCTAGTTTTTATATTAGCTTTAGTATTAATACTAGCTTTAAGGCTAATACCTACCTTATTATTAGTATTATAACTATAAGCTAGCTAGTTAGCTATAGCTATAACTAGGCTAGGCTAGCTAATACCTATACTAGTTCTTATATTAGCCTTAGTATTAGTACCTATATAGCTATAGGCTAATCTATTAATATAGCTTTTATTATATATAGTAGTAGTAGTATTAGTTTATATTAGTAATATCTATATCTTCTAGTAACCACCTTATTAGCTATAGTTATAGTTAACCTAGAGGTTTCTATAGTGGCTACCTTAGGGGCGGCTAGTGCTGTAGGGGCGACTTGCTTAGCGGTCGCTAGGGTGGGCCTGGCCGGTGTGCTTATTGTCTTGATATCGCCCTAGGGGCCCTCTGTTAGTCTAAACACACGCTACCTCTAGTTCACGGTGGTGGCGGCTGGCTCGGCGGGTGGGAGTAGTGGCCAGGGTAGAGCCGCTGGTCGCGCGGTGGCTGCCCTGGTGGCGACTAGCTATGCAAGCGGGAGTGTTCAAGGCGGAGCCGCGACCGGCTTAGCGGTGGCTATCTCGGGGGCCACTGGTTCAGTGTTGGTTAGTCCTATAGTATTAGTCCCTATAGCGGCGGCGGTAGCTACCTACCTTATATATACTACCTTAACTACTTTAGTCTAGTTATCTAGTAATAGTAATACTATTATATTTAGTATATAGTATTACTCTTTAGATATTAAATTATACTATATAAGCTTCTAGACCTTATATATACCCTAGATCTATATTTAGATAAGTACTTATCTAAATAGTAGGAATATCTAGGTATCTTTAATTATAATATAGGCTATAAGGAATCTAGTTATTATTATACTCTTATTACTAGAGGTTATATATAAATAGTTCTATCCTATTATTATCTACTAATACTTATTAAATATATTAAAGAATAGTTATATAAATTTTATTATATTATAGAGTACCTTTCTATACTTATTAAGAGGGGTTATATTAATATACCTAGGTAGGTATTTACTTATACTATCTAGGGTTAATAAGGCTTAGTATATCTCTTTAAGCTAGGTTAAGTAGTTATTTAGGTTATTATTAATTAAGCCTTTAATAAGCTTTAAGACTATTTAATATATTTAATTAATCTATTAATTACTTCCTTATATAAGTAATATATCTAGATATATTTTATTATTTATATCTAGGTTAAGCCTACTTTTCTTTAAGGTTATACTTATTTCTTATTTAGCTTATCTTTTTATTTAATCTCTATTACTATTAAGATTAGCTAAGGTAACTAGATTTATAACTAGATTTATAGCTAGGTCTTATATTATAAATATAAGTAATACTTAATTAATTATAAATATAGGTACTACTTAATTATTAGCTAGATTTATAGCTAGATTTATAACTAGGTCTTATATTATAAATATAGGTAATACTTAATTATCTATTTATAACTTATATATCTATATTACTTTAAAGGCTTATTAGCTACTATATAGTATATAATAGTATAGTTATAAGAGGATAGATAAGGAAGAAGGGAAAAAGGGGGAGTAAGAGAAAGGGTAGAAATATAAGTTAGAGTAAAAGTAAAGAACTATATAGTTAGTTATAAGAAGTATTAGAATAGTATTAAGTATAAAAAGTGCTTAATACTATTTATATTATTATAAGTTATTTTCTATACTTCTCTATTTATTCTCTACTTATATTTACTCTAGGTATACCTACTTATTCTATACCTATTCTAGTAATAGCTAGGATATATATTTACCTAGATCTTTAATATAGAGTTATTAGTTATAGTTACTACTAAGATCCTTAAATCTTACCTAGAATTATTCCCTAGGGCCTTATTATTAGGTATTATAAATATAGTTAATAAGGTAGTCTTTTATATATACTAGTATCTAGTCTAGCTTCCCTATATCCTATTCTTTATATTTATAGGCTAGCTTAAGGTAGTCTACTAATATTATATTATATATCCTTTATAACTATAGTAGCTATAGTCTATATACTATTTATCCTATCCTTTTTATAATTATAAATAGGCTAGTAAATTATATACTAAATTTATATCCTAGTAACTTAGATATAGAGTAGCCTCTATATAGTTATAAATAAACTTAATTACCTATTATAAAGAATATTATCTTATATCTTTAGTTATAATAACTTTTTATAATTATAGCTATTATTACTATAGTATTATAGGTTATAATCCTTACTATAGTTATATCTAGTTTAGCTACTATAGCTAGTAGTAGGCTATTAACTATATCTTAAGGGTTAAAGCCTATAATAACTTTATAGGTATTATACTTTATTACTATATTCTAGGCTATATTTAGCTAGAATTATAGCCTAAATAATAATTCTTTTTATCTAGTTATATTAGTTATAGTAGCTAGGTATATATAGATAGCTAATAAGATAATTTAAATAGCCTTTTCTATCTATTTATTAGTCTATAGGTAATATACTATAGAGTATATTAGCTTTATCCCTAGCTATCTCTATATATATTACTATATAGCTAATAAAAACTTAAGGTCTTAGTTAAATAGTATAATCTATAGTAGGCCTTATCCTTATAAGAATAAGGTGTCTATAATAACTTTTACTATAGTTACTAAGCTAGCCTTATAGCTAAGTAGTCTTAAGATAATTACCTTACTAAACTTATATATTAATACTACTATATATATATATCCTTCCTTTAACTCTAGTAAGGCTAGTAAGAAGTTAAAGGATATATAGTAAAAGGGGATTAATAAGGGTAGTAATAGTTATAGATTCCTATATAATATATAATATATCTTCTTATAGGTTTAGTATAGTTAGTATTATTTAAGAAACTTATAAAATCTTTATAGTTTATTATAAATATAGAACTATATTAAAAGATAAACTAGCTTATTATAACCTCTATAGTTTCTAGTATATAGGGATTTAAAGAGCTTAGCTATATAGCTACTTAGAATATATAGCTTCTTCTTTACTTTATAACTATCTAGATATTCTATAACTTTATATAGTAGCTTATCCTATTATATAAATAATAGTTTAACTTTATTATCTAGTTATAGCTTATTATTTACTTTAATAGTATTAAAGATCCTCTTCTAAATAAGGTTTATAGTATATCTATTTATTAATCCTACTTTAAAGTCTAGGCTTATCCCTAGTATTAATATATAGACTAATAGTATATAGTTTATAGCTATATATACTTTAGCTAGTACTTTCCTTTAATAGGGTATATCTAGCTATAGCTTTAGTCTATTATCTAGGAGGTTATCTAGTTAGCCTAGTGCCTTTAGATAGGTATATAGAGGCTAGGTTAGTAACCTACTAAGTATATCTAGTATAATATAGTCTTTACTATATCTATATAAGACTTATATATTAAATTAGCTAATATATTCTATAGCTTTAATAAGCTTCTTATTAACTATATATTAGGATATACTATTTATAATATTAAGCTACTTAGAAAGGTTAATAATTAAGTTATAATCTATAAAATATATAGCTAATAGGTACTAAGAGG